CATATGTATGGGTATAAGGGTGTGTGTATATATATATGTGTGTGTATTTTTGTGGATGTATTCAATTCAATTCAATTCAATTCTTTATTGTCATGTGTACAAGTACAAGTACTGTGTACAATGAAATGCTTACTTGCATGAGCTCCTGCAGACAGTGAACATAGACAGCAAGACAGACAACAGGATGACAAGAGATGACATGAATGATAAAGTGAATTTTAAATAAGTAGAATAAATAAGACCAAGTAAAATAAATAAGACCAAGAGACAGAGAGAAGTATATGTATGGGTAGCAGTGGAGGTGACACAGGTTACTGATTGTTCATGAGTCTGATTGCAGTTGGGTAGAAACTGTTCCTAAACCTGGAGGTGCGCGTCCGAATGGACTTCAGTCGCTCCCCAGATGGGAGGAGGGTGAAAAGTGACAGTGCAGGGTGGCTGGGGTCTTGCCTGATACGGTTCACTTTCCTGAGACAGCGTGTAGTGTGGATATCGCGGATCGCAGGGAGCTGTGTGCCCGTGATCTTCTGTGCTGAGTGCACCAGCCGCTGCAGAGCTCTGTGGTCCTGAACTGAGCAGCTACTGTACCAGGATGTGATGCATCCTGTCAGGATGGATTCCACAGTACACCTGTAGAATCTGCACAGGGTTGTGGGGGACATCCGGGCTTTCCTCAGTCTCCTGAGGAAGTAGAGGCGTTGTTGTGCTCTCTTGACTATTGCCGCCGTGTGACTTGACCATTTGAGGTCATCAGTGAGGGTGACTCCGAGGAGCCTAAAGCTGCTGACCTGCTCCACAGCCTCACCTCCAATGTAGATGGGGCTGTGCTCTGTTGCCTGTTTGCGGAAATCCACAATCATCTCCTTAGTTTTCTTGACGTTGAGGGAGAGGTTGTTGTTCTGACACCAATCTTCCAGGTGTCTGACCTCCTCCCTATAGGCCGTCTCATTGTCCTCGCTGATCAGACCTATTACGGTGGTATCGTCAGCAAACTTAAAGATGGAGTTGGAGCTGTACTTAGCTACACAGTCATGGGTGTAGAGAGAGTAAAGTAGGGGGCTCAGCACACTTCCCTGCGGGGTGCCAGTGCTGATGGTGATGATGGAGGAGGTTTTTCCACCCGTGCGCACTTGCTGAGGTCTGTCGGTGAGGAAATCCAGTACCCAGTTGCACAGTGAAGAGCTAAGCCCCAGATCCAGGAGTTTAGTGATGAGCTGGGATGGAATGACGGTGTTAAATGCAGAGCTGTAGTCCACAAACAGCAGCCTGGCATAACAGTTCTTGTTTTCCAGATGGGACAGGGTGGTATGGAGTGTGATGGAGATGGCATCCTCTGTGGACATATTGCTACGGTAGGCAAACTGGAAGGGGTCCAGACTGTCAGGGATGGTGTCTTTGATGTGTTCTAGCACCAGCCTCTCGAAGCACTTCATGACTATGGGAGTAAGTGCTACTGGGCGGTAATCATTAAGGCAGTCTATTTTATTTTTATTTGGGACAGGGATGATGGCTGAATGCTTGAAGCAGGTGGGGACAGATGAAACTTTCAGAGATGTATTAAAAATGACCGTAAAGACTGCAGCTAGTTGATCGCAACATGTCTTTAAGACGCGACCTGAGACTCTGTCTGGGCCGGGTGCTTTCCGGATGTTGAGTCGGGAAAAAGACCTTCTCACATTATCCTCGGAGAGCCTCAGGCTGGAATCTTGCGGCACTGCGGGGGG